GCAATACCATCTTCATCAAGATTTTCTTGATAACGCCAAAGGCCACATGTATAATCAGTTTTTTCAAATACAATTGGTTCAAAATTTTGTTCAACACATGCTTTGGCCGATGTTATGCCACAAACACCAGCACCAATAATTGCAATTCGTTTGGTCATTTTTTCTGTTTTGTTTGAATTTTGAAAATTTGAATCAAACGAATGAATGGAAGAACAGTTGGTGAAATTTAAATCACATGTCAATTATTCTCCCAACTTAAATATGACTGAAAAAAATTTGGGTGCATATCATTTATCGAAGCAAAAATCAAAAGATTGTCATTGAAATCGAGTACAATCTATCATTGCCATCCATCGATTAGCTAAATCATCGATAATCAAATGTCGTGTCCATGTTTTTCCAAGGAAAAAATTATATGAATGCATTTCCATTGAGCAAAAAAAAAATCAAAAAACCAAAACTCATCATTCATTGAATAATAAAAGGCAAAATGTGTGTGTTAACACCGCATGTATATGTGTGTTGGCTTGTGTTATCCATATATTTATGCCAGAACAAAAACACAAAGTAAATGTTAATGTTGTAAATATTATTTACGACAAACAAACGAGTATAGGATGTACGCTAATTGGGTACATAATTTCATTAATTTTCATTCATTTGAAAACAATATCAATTTGACAGATAAACAATCAAACAAAGTAGAAACAGAAAAAAAATTTCGACCGATGAACAATTTGTACAGGGTTCATCAAATCGATAAATATCGCGATATTGGATATTGGAAATTTGATATCAGAAAAGAAAATCGATGAAGATATGATAGACCCAAATACGCAAAAAAATTCCGACGTTTCTCATATGACAACCAAACAAAACAATGTCAAAACTCAATTGTAGTTTTGATAAATTGAAAAAAATGTTTGTAAATAAATTTTATTGGTTATTTATATTTTAATTGAATTAAAAGAGAGAGAGAAAAAAATCTACAATTTTTTGTTTATAAATTGAATGAGATCTTTGGATAAGCCTACATGCAATAATAATAAATACTTTGTAATTTAATGATGATGATGATTTTTCTGTCAATAAATTATTAAACTAAAGATCATTATCAATGAATTTTTTGTTTCTGTTTTTGTTTTTGGCAAGCTCAATCACATGATGATCATTTCTTCTGTTGTTCCATCAATATATATGGGGAGAAAAAACAGGTTTCAATCGATTTTTTTGGTTTTTTGTTTTGCGCCACAACCATTCGTTTACGTTTGTGTAAGGCATGATGTTAGTT